AAGTCAGCATAGGCCAACACAGGAGCTGTGGTGAGCTTAGTCTTCAAGGCTTTAAAACTGCGGTTGCACTCCTTTATCCATCTCTCTCCAACACTCTGCTCTGCTCTGCATCTGGACGTGGTGCCTCCCAGCACTGCCACCAACCTGTGCAAACGTGCTGCAAACTTGGCGAAGCCTTTCACAAACTGTCGATAGTAGCTGGCGAACCCCAGAAACAACCTCTACCCAGAGACATCGGTAGGAAGTTGCCGCTCTGCGACATGCGCAGGCTACCATCCTTCTTCCGAACCAGCACGATAAGCATAAGGGCTGCTGCTCTCTCTGATCACCTGGACAACTGATTAACGTGCTCCTTTACAACCTCATACTCAGAAGGGGGAATGTGCCTGTAACGCTGACGTACAGGAACATCGTCAACAATCAGGATCTCGTGAGCTATCAGATCAGTACAACCCAAATCACCATCATTGGAGGCAAAGACAGCGCTATATTTGCTGAGAAGCGACTCCACCTGACCCTGCTCTGGCAATGCTAACGCTAATGCTAAGTCCACAGCCGCTAGCTGATCTGACACAGTGGAAACAGACTGACAGCTCACTGTGGCTACCCTCGTGGGCACCTCAGTGACCCCCGCAGGAAGGCTAACAACATTATGCCCGCGTCCACTCAGCCAATCCCTGCTGGCACACCCACCTCATACCCTGTAGCGTCACTTCCTACACCTGCGTTGCATCCTGCTTTTGTGTCTTGTGTTTGGGTCCCAAGCTGCCTCTTCACTCATCCAACCCTGACAGTTAGTGCTCCACCACTGATAAACACAGCATTGTCTTCATGGCTAATTTAGCAATGGGCAGCGTTAGTAAGTTAGCAAGTTAGGTTTAATAATATTTATATATCTGCGATCTGGGAGAGTGCAGTGAAAAATGGGAGGGTTAGCAAGTCTGGTATGAATGTTTTCAGGAGAGGGGAAGTGAAAAGGGCTGGTAGACTGCGTTCAGCCGATGTTTTGTTCTGTGGTGCTGCAGTGTTTTGAACAGAGGAGCTGCAGCGTGCCCTCTGGTGGTAAACTATGCAACTCTCATGACTTGAAGGAAGGATCCGACTCTCTGTTTGTCTTTTCAATAGTCATATATCGGCTGTTATACATGCTGATGCAGATATATCTGCAAGTAGCTTATATCAGCCAATAATATCTGCTAAACGATAAATCGGTCGGGCTCTAATTAGTACTATAGTAGTAGTATACTCACTGTTCTGGATTGGGAGGCTGTTAGGAGGAGACCACGTTGTGCACATTGAAGAGAGGTCATTACAAATAACAAAAATCAATGTGCTGAATATTAAATTATTATCCAACTATTATAAGCTGTTGGATGGGTGATATATATCCATATTTGCATCCTACACCCTAAAACGTGTCATCCTTAGTCTTGCATTCAGAAAATGAATTTCACACTCTCTTAAGAACCTAGTTGTCGCTTTCTTAAATTTCAGTTATGTAACCATGAACCTATTCTTAGACAGCTGTTACCTTACGTAGCCTAGTGTCCTCCTCATCTGTGCATGACAGACTACAAAGTTACTGAGCTGTAATTTGTTCTGTTGGCTGTTAGTTGTGCTCTCCCAGCCAACTAACAAGAAAAGAAGACTCTCGTGCAACAAACAGCCAAGGCCCATAGATGACAAGGGTAGTGATTAAGTCATTAGCTGCGTGAGTGGAGACATATGTCAGCAGGCCTACTTCAGATAGATGGCACCTCTTTGAAATGGATTTTAATGGTATAAATCCTATTCCTTCTGTAAAGGATATTCAGTTAATGCACATACACATAAGTATTCCCAAGAGCACATTGCACACAATCCATGTACATATATGCATGCATGCACGCACACAGACATGTACACATATACATATAGGCCCAAACAGATGTGCCCAGTGTACTGTGGCCAAATAAGTAATGGGACTATTTTTGAATGTGCCCTATGGTTACAGCATCTGACTGAATCCATCTATATGTGACTCCTATACACATACACACACATAGAAGAGCACAACAGTAACAAACACATACGAATGTACTTTGTTTTGTTTTTCTCGATTGCTTAAACACATTTCTTGAAATTATGCCTCTTTTCCTCGAAACTTTAAACACAAATCCACAACTTCTCATCCAGTTCCCCAAACATCCTATTTTCAGGTCAAAATTAAGCTCTCCACTCAAAACCATTCAATCTTGCTGAAAGTCCAAACTTTGCCCTCAGACATGACACACAAGCCCTCAAAAACACACACACTACAACACAGTCTTACACACTGGTGAGATACTGTAAATCTGAAAGTAACATCACAGAGTATGGTCTAGACCTTTTATGAAAAGCGCTCTGAGATAACAGTTGTTGTGATTTGGCGCTATATAAATAAAATTGAATTGAATACAACACACTAAACTTATTCTGCCCCAGCATCCTGTCTTTGGTCTGGGAGATTCTCCTCCTCCCTCCTCCTCCAACTCCTACTGTTCCTCTTCCTTCACCTCTTACTCCTCTCCATAGTCATCATTCTCCTCCTCCTCTCTGGTGTCCTCTACCTCTTCCTTGAGATTTCTCTGGATCCATTGTTCTAAAACTGGATGAGCTGACTCTTTTACATACACTACAATAGAGTGCAGTTACAGTAACAGTATAGTACAATAACTATAGGCTGTAGACTTGTACTGTAAGCATCAGTGCTATAAGTGTCTGAGTGTACACTTACTTGCACTCACATACTGATATCTTAGATCTTTCAAAGGGTACTCCACACCAGCTTCACGCGTACCCTGTTGAGATGGAGGACACGGGCAATGGTACAATGGCTGACGCTGTTGATTCTTTCAAAGTTTTCTTTGTTTTCTACAACTCTTTGCTGTTTTTCATGCAGTCGGATGGCATTGTTTTGAAGGACCATATCAACAATGAGAGCCTCTTGCTGTTGGGAAGACAAAGCAGTTCATCTAGCCTCATGTGGGAGTCTTGCAATTCTACAAAAGGGAAAATGCACTTACAAATTATACATACAGTAAAAATAGTAATGGACATCGCTTTTATATGTAAAATGTATTGTAATTTATTTTCTTTTTCCCCAGTCCCCTTTCTATTGACAAAGTGATGTACTGAATCAAATGTATACAGGAAACTTTCAATTGCCAAAATGAGAAAAACAAAACATTTACCTGTTCTCTTCGCTGAATGTCCTGATTATGGTGGCCACAGAGAATCTCCTCAAATTGGGTTGTACTCTTTGCCCTGCTTCCCTCATTGTCACTCCATGAACAAGAACACGGTCTATCACAGTTGCCCGAATTTGATCTGGAATTACTATTCTTGGTTTGCTCTTCGTTGTCCTCGTACTCTTCCTCCTCGTCCACCACCTCTTACATGAACTCTTCCTCCTCCACATTGTTTCCATCCATTGTTTGTATCAACATTGAACGTACCTGGGCCACCTGTGTACTCTGAACTGGCTTATATTCTAGACAGTTGATTTGATCACATCATTAGAAACAAGTGTGAACAATTTTGAGTTGTTGTGTGTAAACGATGACATCTGTGTTGTAGTTGTGTTTAACTTTTGCTGCCTGTGTTTACCATTTTGCAACATAAGTGCATCACAGGGCAAAATGTGTTTTAGTGAGTGAGAATGTGTTTTGAGTTTTGCAAAAAGAGTGGATGAGATTTGCAAATGGTGTCTAACTACCTGAACTTGTTTAAGGTTTTGCCAAAAGAGTGATTGATTTGAAAAATGGGTTTAGGCCACTGAGCATTTGGTTCAGAGAATGGGATTTAGTGTTTTAGGAATTCAGACAAACTGCAATGCTGAGCTCAGTTAGTTGAATAGGGTCCCATGCTCAAATGGGAGTGCAGGGATCAGTGCCAGCTATTGGCTTGGCAAGGTTTCACTGTCAAGCTTCATTATAAGAGCAGGAGACAAAGCCTAAGAGACAACAGTTGTTGGAATATTAACCTGGGTAAAGGGACCATGTGTGTGACTTCTGATGGTTTAGGGTTGATCATAATTGTAAAGAAAGTTCTGATGCACTTTGGTTACATTGCTAGTGTTGTGTGCCAGGATGGTGTTTTATATTTCAGGAAAGATGCCATGACAGAGAGATGATGACGCAGAAATGATGCAGTTTGTGTGGCATTGTATCAACACTATTTAAGCTCTGAGACACGTGTGGCTGTCAGATCTGTGAACAATATTTACATGCTGTCTTGCCATACAATACATCATCAACAAAATGAGCAACAAATTGGCTTGCCTGGCTGGGATATAAACCAAAAACAGATTACAGTGAAGAGCCTTCAAGGTGCAATGTATAAGATATGGCCAGAATTGTAGTTTAAGTTTAAAACATATAATCATTAACAGAATGTGAAGAAGTAAGATGTTATAGCGTTACACAAGCTCTCTTAGTCTAATAAATAAACAAAATAAGCTCACAAAATGTATTGAAAGGAAATACCCCTACACCTATTTTCCTTATCAAACAGAAAAATAAAAATGTAGACATTCTGAATTCAAGTTTCTCTCTTTCACCAAACTGCCTTGTTATCTCATTGTAAAACACACTTTATCCAAACTGGACAGAAACAAAACAAAACTCACCAAATCTTTTGTGGTATTTCCACTGTTCCAACAATCACCAACTGTGGTTTGGTTGAAAGTAACCCTTAATTCAAAGAGTTAGATGTGAAAATATTCTGGCTCTACTCAGTTATCTAACAGGACCGCCAAATTAGCTGCATGGCTCACTGAGCTAATTAACAGTTACAACCTGATATTTGATGTGCTGCCCCCTATTTTTTGGAGTATGAATTCGACAGGTGGAGAGTCATCTCAGTTTTTATTATTCCTCACCTATTTAATCATTTGCTCACTTAACTTTTATTATCATAAGTTTTGTCCTCATCTCATCATCTGCTTTTCACATCTTCACTGTCGCTATTGTTTGTTTCAGTATTGGACGGACATTTACCTCTCATGGAACCCAGAGAACTACCCCGGGGTTCAGAACCTACGCTTCCCGTCCAATCTGGTATGGGTCCCAGATATCCTCCTCTACAACAGGTAGGGTGTACTCACAACCTTTTGCTGATCTGTCACCTAGTCTCGTCTTGCTTTGTCTCATTTTGTATCCTCTCCTATCTTCTTCCACTTAATACTACCCCAGTCAATTCTTTCACCAGCTACTTGAGTTGATTTTAAGTTTTTATTGATTAAAACTACATCACAGGTCTCTCAATACAATCTCTTGTGGCACCATCAGCACCGTGGTTAATCTGTCATTGCTCTTGCCATTTCATTCAATTGTGCATATGCTATCTGTTTGGACGCTTCTGGTCTTCTCTCTCTTTTCTTCCTCTATACTAATTTGCTTTCTGTAATACATGAACAGATAGTCTAGATTGCCTGGGCACAGTGGACAGAATTATTCCCCAGAGTAAATTTCACTCTTGGTTACAGCCTCGTTTAATGAGGTGATTGAGCCGTTTCCCTCTGGGAGGACATAAAACGTCTCCCAGGGGGCTTTGCATCTGTCGCCTGCAATGGGCAGTACGAATTAAGACTACTGAAAAAACTGCCAAATGTGAAATGCTGTTAGGAATGTCAAAGGGCTATTGTGAAGTATGACTAGTGTGTCCAACTTGACAAAAAGACAGAATTTAATCTAAATTATATTACATACATATTTTTGTTATGTATACAGTATAATATGTTAATTTCTTGTAGTCCTTTATTATAGACACCATCATATCATTTACAGTTTTTTCTCGATTGCTTAAACACATTTCTTGAAATTATTCCTCTTTTTCTCAAAACTCTAAACACAAATCCACAACTTCTCATCCAATTCCCCAAACATCCTATTTTCAGGTCAAAATAAGCTTTCCACTCCAAACCATTCAATCTTGTTGAAAAACCAAACTTTACCCTCAGACATTTCTCTTTAGATTTTTCTGGATCCATTGTTCCAAAACTGAATGAACTCACTTTGGCCCTTTTATCTATCTATTGAAGCTTCTGATTGGTGTGTTATCAATTTTGACTGTTTGTGTTTCCACCTGGGTAGCTGTGTGCTAATTGAGCTCAACCTGTGCTGATTGAGTGAACATTATCGAATGTCAGTGCTTTCTCAATGACCACACGGTGAAGGCAATGAGAGATGAAGGGATTTGTGTGTAGAGATTAGAGAAATGGGTGTGCTTTTTGAAAAATGGAGTCATGGTTTGGAAATTTTTAGTTCAAAAGCCTGTTGTAGTGTTAAAGCAATGGAGAAAAACTGTAATCATGTTTGCAGAGATCTTTCACTCACATATCAAACTCTTCAGGTCTTATTGTAAACACCTGACTGAGCTAATCTCTTTTCATAATTTTGTCAAAGAATAGGACTTTCATGGTAAATAATGGTACTTGCAAACAACTCAGTGGTTTCTTTGATTCATATGTCAGTCTAACTGAACCTCTTTCGTATTTGGCCTGCTCAGCCATTTTGGTTTTTATACTGTTTGGATGGAGAAGAGGCTGCTGTGCCTGTTTTACAATAATTAATTAGGTTGGTAGGTGTTTCTGAGATTGATATTCACAATGCGGTCTAGACCTGCTCAGTTTTTGAGAATGGTCCTTGGGATCAATGCCACTGAGCAACTTCATTTTCATTTTCCAGTGTCATTTGTGTTTCAGGCTTTTGTGCACATTAAAGGAATATATGTGGCACCAATTTTGTCCTCAAACACAAGCTGCTCTTAGACATAAATTACAGAGGGCTGCCTACATGGTAAACTAATAACATCCAGAACATTTACCCTCTTGCTAAACAGCTGTGACATACTGAAAAAACAACTATACCCAATGTGCCAATGTGGTACACCCAGTGGAATCACATGGCTTTGGCACATATGAGTGGTTTAGGTCTTATTCCTGTTCATTTGCTGAAAACTGGACTGTGATTGTGCAACAGTGTGTCCAGCAGGAGAGAAAAGACTGGACAAAATAAAATAAAAATATGCTTACTGTACTTGCACAGAAATTCTTTTCGCTGATGATTGTATTATTTACTTTTGTGCCTGCAACAATGAGATAAATCTATACAAAATCAGATGCTGTGCAGTCTGTCAGATTATTGGTATGGCTAGCATTCAGTTACAATACAGTTTCACACAGCAAACAAAGTGACAATTCTTACTTGAATGAGGACGTCCTAAACATAAATCATATTAATGTACAAGGGAATACCACTTGAGGAAATACCAAAGTGGTTTTTGTCTGGTACTCCTGTTTATGTGACTACTTTTTATATTGTTTCTGACTGTAAAAGGCACCGGGGGAGAAAGGTTGTGTGATTGCTAAACATTATTAAAACTCCAAGCTCCAGAGCTCCAAGAGAGGGTATTTATCAGGGGAGTAAGATGTTTTCCTTCTCATGCCTCCTTGGAACTCCCCTTGCCCCCCCAACCCCTCCCACACGCACACTGTTACTAAAGAATCACACTTGTTATGGAGGAAAGTAAACATGATACAAGTCAGAGTTTAAGTAGATTGATAGAACTGCTTTTTCAGCTCTACCTTCAAGGTGATTGTGGATTCCTTTATGGGATAGGGGGCATCTAACAGGGATTATACGAAGCATTAAGCAGCTTACGGTGGGGATCAGTGATCGCTATCGATAATGACAATATTTAGTCCTGACACAGATGCAGATTGAAACTGACATTCCTTATCCATGCAGTATAAATCATGACAATAAATCATTCATTTCTATTTTTATGATCAAGAAAGCAAGCAAGAGATTAAAACTATGAGATGAGATGAATTTTTACTGATGCCCATTTGGAAATTTGGTCATTGCAGTAGCAAAACTTCAGCAGGGATGAAGACAAAAAGTATAAGAAATATGAAACTTGTATATAAAGATAACAATTAAACTGTGAAGGACTTATCAAGTAATGAGGAATGAAGCAGAAAAAAGCAATGGTGAGCTTTTATATATACAAGCTTGGCAGATGCCCTTTTGGACAGTTTTTTGCATTTTTCCGGTGGTGTATGGCTTATCCTTCTCCAAGATGACAGCCCTTTCGTCCTACCTTCAAGTGGGGCTTTTTGTGTTCTGTCAGTCAGTCATGCAGCATGCTTTGGTGGGTTCTCTGCCGTGCTGTACCAGAGGTCACAAACTTCTGGCTGAGTGCTGCTATGTTGGAGTTTTCTCTTAGAGAGCTGTAGGGTCGACGTGACTACATGTTTTGGAGTGGAAGACTCTGATTGTTGTTTATGCCTATGCAACAAAAAGTAGTTCAAAGTATCTGATCTTCTTGGAGTCTCTGGGTGGGGTCCAGAAGTGGACACTGCCTGGGGATTTTATATACCTACCCCTTCTATAGACATATTTTTTGATTATAAGCTGGTTTGTACAGCAACACTTTAGGTGAAATATCAATGACTGAATATCAATGGCTAAGAATGTGCAAAGTTGTCCATTTTCATGAATCCACTGTACGAGATGCAGGGTAGTCTGTTTCTTCAGTCCACAGCCTGGGGTAGTCTTTAGTGAGACAGTTTGGACATAAAGAGCTGTAAAGCCTGACTGGTGAAGGATCTAAAAGGTAGACATCTGTATATATTGTATGTTCCCTGTGTCAGCTGTTCAGATGAATAATATAAGAACCATTTGTCCACTCTCAGGCATGATTTTGAATATTTCACCATCTACAGACACTTGGGCTGGGACAAAAAGGGGCAGAGTTTTCTGCTTTCATTGTGTTTTTTACATAAATAATGTAAGCCATCTCACTGTAGAGCTGCTTTCTTTACATGTAGAGATAGGTTTTAGTGAATCTACACAGTAAAAATCTGTCTTTCCTTACTTTTGCCGCTTATCCTGATGACTATATTTTAACACAAACTCTAACGATGTTTTCACAGGCATGAAATGTCAATGTTTGTGATGCCAATTCATTGAGCCAGTGGATATTGAAGCAGTATATTCTGTACTATAAAAGAATCGGGGGAAAAAAATGAAAGGCTATTTGCCTAAAATATTTGTTTTTCAGGAATTCTACTGCACACTAACACAGTATATCCAATTTTTTCGTGGTTTAGCAGGTTATTTAGCAAGTGAATGGCAAGCCTTTTTGTCATATGTGTCTTTTGGTTTTTCATTCAACGGCTCACATGTAAAAAGGTTAAATTGTTGAAGAATCCGCAAAGGCAAAAGGACTCCACTGGTATTTAATGCCTTCATCATGCCTTTACCTTGTCCAAGAACTCTCCTGTCTCATTTTCACGAAACAGTATTAAAAAAAATCTCATCCAGACATTTGTTGGACCTTAATTTAAAAAAATCACTATTATAGTAACCATATCCTGCATTAGTGTTCTGATAGATGACCTTAGGAAAGAGAAAGTGTATGACTGTTTTTATGCTACCCAATTAATGTAGACTCTATGTTAGGTAGCTGTATTACAAATATTATTACAAGGCTAAATGCTAATTTAGCTAATTTATTCTCTGCAGTGGATAAGATCAAGTACGGCTATTCCAGAGTATTCTCGCTGCTTCTTAGTTGTTCCACCCTCTGCCAAGTGGAAAGAGTGATTAGATTTAGATTATTGATGTAGCTTCTATAAATCTGCATTGGGTAAAGCCTTGTTCTGTTATATGTCTCCTGGGCTCAGTCCCGCCGCACTTTGCGAAAATTTATGTTCACCTGTCCAACAAAAAGCTTTCAGGAAGAATTTCAGCATCACCCTCACTTTCTCCAACTGCTTCCCGTCTCATACTGCAAGTGGTAGAAATATACTAATGGACAAAACATAGATGGTAGTATGAGTCATGCTTTTGTCTGGTTTTGGATGAACACTGATGTATTCTTCAAAATGAGGTGCCTTCAGTTCTATTTAATTCATTTTATCTATGGGGTCACATCAAACTAAAAGATATGATGAGTTGGTATCATAGGAAGCCTTTCACTGCTTCATTACTTCTGTCATGGAGGTCATGTTTTTTAGTCCTTTTGTCGGTTTGTTTTTGTCTACCATGCTAGCAGCTATGTAAGGCTGTACTTACGCACAGCTGTGCTTTGAGCTACTTAATGCTACATGCTCACAATAACAGTGCTAACATACTGATGTTTTCCATGTTCACCATCTTAGTTTAGCATGTTAGCATGCTAATAATTGCTAATTAGCAATAAACACAAAGTAAGGGGCTGATGGAAATGCCATTAGTTTTGCAGTTATGTGGTCATAAACCAAAGTATTGGACACATTCAATTTTAATTAAATTCATAGAGGAAAGATTAGCGATCAACAGAGTTATTATAATTCATCCTGAGGGGACCATGCATGTCTGTAGGAATCCATTCAATAGTTGTCAATATTTTTGAACTCAAAACCACAAGAAGAAAAGTCAGGGGATTACCAAAGTTAGTCTGGACAAACTTTTGTAGCAATGCATTCAATAGCTGTTGAGATATTTCAGTCTGGACCAAAGTGGTGAATTGACAGACTGACTTGGCATCCCTAGAGCCACGTCAGTTCCCCAGAAAACTCCTGTAAAAGGTATTCAATTAGCCAGGACTGAATTTAATTTCCTGGTTCCATGCTTCTTTTTGTTGCAATGAATGCAGAGAGAGAAATTTTATCTAGCAAAAAAGAGTCCCCAACATTTGTAATTATAGTGTAAGAATGGCTGATCTCATGTGTTCGTTTTCCTCTCTGAAAGAAAATTTCAGATGTTGTATTGTTCTTGTGAGTTTTGTTCTTGTGTGAAATTTGTAATTTTCTGATTGTGATGTCTGCACTTTGGTTTTTGAGTATACATAATCACTGTCTGTTTGAAGGACGTCTCAGTGGTGGACACCCTTGTTTGTTTAAGATGATCAGTATAATTAAACACCGGTCTGGTCTTGTCTGTCTGGATCTACAATAATCCCCCTCGTCTCTATGTCTCTCTGTCACCTTCATTTTCACTTGCAGTGTATTATCGGTTCTGTTTGTACCATTGTACTTAACTCACAGTCACCTTTATAAGCTCTGGCCCTTTTATTCCCCTTTGGCTTCCCATTTTCCTTGTCTTGGGGGCTTTTTCTTTGAATGCTTCACTACTGTTTATAAATGATCTACTCTTCTCTCCCTGTAGCGCCGATGAGAGGTTTGATGCAACATTCCATACTAATGTGCTGGTAAATGCAACAGGATCCTGCCAGTATATCCCACCAGGTGATTCACTGTGTTACATATTATGTTTCACTAATAACCAAGTTTCAACTTCATTTCATCAACTATATCTTGTCACTGTATTACCATTTATGGTTGTTCTTACAGCATCCTTAACATCATAAGCATGTTGTCACATCAAAACTGTTCGGATCATCATCGTCATCTATGGAAACATTAACTCGATCCTTGTCATAAACATGATCACTGTCATCATCATCCTCCTCATTATCACCCAATTCACAGACGAGCCTCCACCTTCCCCATGGTTTTAGCGATTTGCAGGTGGGTGTAAAGACATCTAAGTGTCGAGGTTTAAGCCAGGCCAAATTTTGAAGAAAAGTGCAAGGTGTTTAGACACCAAGGTTTCATAGAACCACAATATTTCAATGTGTCTGTTATTGGAGGAACTGCCACAAGTTGAACACTAAACAACAGTTACATGCAACCTATACGTCTAAAAACTTAGCATGATGATTAATTATTAGTTTTTGTAAATGAAAATGCATACATCAATATTTACATCTTTCTCTTCATTTTATTAATTGATACAACTTGTTCCTATTTTTTGCTTTGAAATATGATTTTTAGTAACTGAAAATAAAAGGTATTTTGGTGTATAATTTGACATTAAATTACACTTGATCTTTTTAATTAATTAATTTATCAATAGAACCTACACTTCTGTAGATTCCTCTGTGATATATCACAGTATGTGTGAACATTTATGCCTGAGGGTTGTGCGCACATATTCCTCCTGACTCTCTCCAGGCATCCTGAAGAGTACCTGCTACATCGATGTACGGTGGTTCCCATTCGATGTGCAGAAGTGTGACCTGAAGTTTGGTTCCTGGACCCACAATGGTTGGCTCCTGGACCTCCAGATGATGGACGTGGACATTTCTACCTACATACCCAATGGGGAATGGGATCTCGTAGGTAAGAAGAAAAACAGACATGCACACTAAGACAGATTCAGGTGCATAATACCAGTAAAACAAAATATAAGGAAATCAAAGACTTGACCTTCCTACAGTTTCTGTCGGGTGATTACAAAACATGTCTACTTAAATTGTTTCCTCAAAATGAATTATTTTCTGAAAGGGTTAACATAAGTTCTTTGTTTAACGGCATTTAACAGCAATGCAATGTTGTGTATCTCAAAATATTTTGGTGAACATTTGGTACAGATAAATCTGAATCACCAAGTACAAAAATGAATGTCTAAGATTTTACATGGTGACATACGAGGGATAAAGATGAGGCAACAGAGCTTATATGATGATTGACTGGAAGCACTCCCAATATTTGTAGAATATGTTTGAGCGGCATATTGTAAATTCCTTCAGGATCAGCATCTGGACGATTCAGAATGACATGTCATATCATATTCCAGGGGAGTTAGATAACCAGTTAGTATTTCACAGCTCTGACAGCAGGTGTTTCAGCGATGTCGGCTTCTTTGTAAGATGCCGTTCTCACTTGACAGTTTCCTGCCCATCAGTCCTGGTTGAAGAGTCTGGAGAATACTGCTGCTGTTGAGTTCAGCTGTATCCACACATCTTCTGGCTGATGAATTCTTGAACTCTTACACCATTTATTTGATTACGGTATACTGTATATATTTATTTTAGGGCTGTCCCCGACAAAGTATTTACATAGTCGAATCCGAATCGTCAAGTCCTGCCTACACACGATAGCTCTGCTTTAACCTTTAGAAGCTGCAGAGCTGCAATCTCTATTCATTCAACTTACACTGTAAATTTCCAGCTAAGCTGAGGATTTTTGAAGACCCTTTTTTCTCTCTCTCTCTCTCTCTTGTCTGTCATTCACCGGTCTTGTGCAGAGTTTTGCGTGCATACCGTGCTGCCAACAACTGTAGGCACTTTGCGGTTCCTCGCGCGTCTATTTCAAGTAACCGGCTATTTAATAATGATAAATAACAAACAAAATATTCTTTGTATGGTTTATCAACGATGATAAATTATCCGAAAGTCCCGCGAGGTGCAGACACCTCGGCACAACACCAGTGAAGCTGGAGCTCGGCCTCTTCAGCGTTGTGTGTGTTCCTCTTCTGCCACTGCACACATACACGCTACGCCTACACATGCGCACTGAAGAGCCAGGGTTAGGGTAATTTTGGATTTATTTACGCACTTTAAAAACATTTATTGAAAGTTTAATTCTTTTTACATGTTTATTTACAGAATTAAACGTTGAAATGTATATTGTAATAGGCTGTATATTAACTTATTCAGGCCAGATTGAAATTTGCAAAGAAGTACAGAGATGAGCCGCAAAAGTTCTGGAACACAATCTTATGGACCGATAAGACCAAGATGAATCTCATGATCTGAAGCATACAAGCTCATCTGTGAAGCATGGTGGAGGTGATGTCATGGCTTTGGCGTGCATGGCTGCTTCTGGAACAGGCTCATTAATATCTATTGACGATGTAACTGATGATGGTAGCAGCAGAATCAATTCGGAAGTGGACAGAAACATTTTGTCTGTCAATTTACAGAGAAATGCATTGAAACTAATCGGGAGGAAGTTTATCATGCAGCAGGACAATGACCCAAAGCACACTGCCAACAAATCAAAGGACTTCATCAGGGGGAAAAAATGGAAGGTTTTAGACTGGCCAAGTCAATCAGCTGACCTTAACCCAATAGAGCATGCATTTCACCTCCTTAAGAGGAGACTGAAGGGAGAAACACCCCGAAACAAACAAGAAGTGAAAGAAGCTGCGGTAAAAGCCTGGAATAGCATTACAAATGAAGAATGCAGCAGTTTGGTGATGTCGATGGGTCGCAAGCATGAGGCAGTTATTTCAAGCAAGGGTTTTGCCACCAAATATTAAATGTTATTCACTTTAAGATTATTTGTTCCTTAACTTTTGCTCACCTAAGAATGCTGTGGTCTAATACAATTGGTGAGTTGTTTAACACATCTAGATTTTATTCACAATACCAGGAAATGAGAGATGAAATTCTGAACTCTTGTCTCATAATCATCTTTTGATCTTAAACCCAAATGTCTTCAGTGAACAACAAAAACAAAGGAATTTGCCTTACCGTTCCAATACTTCTGGAGGGGACTGTAGTTAGACATTTTGGAAAAGTCACTGCTTTGGTGAAATAAAAACAATAAAACACACCTTGTTGTTTTTACATTTTGATTTTTGTGCAAATTAAACAAACAAGGTACAACATGTTAGAGCTTTAGACTAGGCTCATTTTGTTACCTTGGATAGAGGGGGCATAGCTGTTTCCCCCAGTTTCCAGTCGTTATTCTAAGCTAAGCTAATGTCTCCTGGCTCCAGCTTTGAAGTGAGTACGCCCTATGTGTCAAGCTATTCCTTTAAGAGCTTTATAAAACCAGATTTTCGTCTCGGAGGCTCATTTTATCCTTATTTGTTTCTTTCTGAGTTTCTCTAACTCTGTCCACACTACCTCTCTGTTTGTCAGTCTCTTGCAAAGACACAAACAAAGAGATACATGATCAGGTTAAAGATAAGATAAGAAAGCATACTGGTTCCTTTCCTCTGTTCATTTTGTTTCTTTTTCTTCTCTCGTGTTTGTGTTATGATTTCTCCCCTCTGCCATGTGGAAATGAAGAACTCACATCACCTCTAACCCAAGCTTGGGTATTAGTCAGAGTCCAGCAGAATAATTCACATTCACACACATAGACAGATTTACACACAAAGTGAGCCAGCTGAGTGTACCCAGCTGGCTTGGAGAATGGAGGAGGGGGGCAATGGTGTGTGGGGTGACAGCTGGCACAGGGATGGTTCACTTAATTCAGACACAGCCAGGCGGCAAGCTGGCCCAGAACACACACTGTCCTGGTGCCTCAGAACATACCCATGCTCATGCCAGCTTACACACACATACACACTTTTACACACACACACACACACACACACACAAAGTATGCATCTGCAGGTCTGCAATCCATCAAATTAATAGATGCTAACAAAGGCTATTTCTCTTTAGCATTCAGGTGACAAAGTTTAAATGAAATGAAATTTAATCCGTGCAATTAATTTAAACTGAATTTCTCTAAGAATGCCCCCCCCACACACACACACAAACTGTGGGCCGAAATCATCATCTCACCCCAAAATGAGCTGCATATTTTGAATATGTGGCTGATTGCATTGTACCCAGGCTTCACTTAGAATCACTAAACACTTAAATGTATGAATGATTCATACGGCCGGACAATGATGGTCAAACCATAATCAAATTGAGGGCCCTTCAGGTTAATCTTTACTCAACACTGATTGTTGACTGTGAGCAACAAGTGTCTCTCCTTCCATCTGTCTCTCACACACACACACACACACACACACACACACACACCGACACACACAGCATTCCCAGATTTTTTTAAATTTTCAATTAAGGTGAAAAGATAACACTACTGTAGTCCACTTTGAAGTGATTGTAAAGATGAAACCTATCAAAGTCACGTTTACTAATCATCTTGCTACACAATGGCTCTCATAATCACAAATGTACACAAAGTGTTGTGGACTTATTAAACTCTGGCTAGACCAAGATGAAATTGTTTTCTGTTGTTGATCTGATGTACAAGGCAGATTTTTTGTGTAAAAGTAAATATGCCGGCAAGACAGATATGGACACGGCGATGAGCATTAGGGATTAATGAATGATTTATGACTGTATAGTCGGGTAATTTCATGTTCACACAAAATTTGAAGGTTGTAAAGTTCAGATTTGAATGTACATTACGCCTGTTCTGTAGCACAAAAGGATTTTGATATACTTATTGACAGATCTTAGACACTGTCCAAATCTGATCCTGAAGGATAGGGTCAAATTTTTTCAAATCTATCTCAAAGGGAAACTACTGATTTTACGTATCATAGGCTGTTTCCAGGTCTTGGGGAGTACTACTGCATATGCATAAAAATGTATGAAGCCATTTGTGGCAACAGAGGGAGAAATCTGAAAATTTATCTTAAGTGATAAATGCATTGATTTTGATTATTTCTTTTTAAAAGCTGTCCATCGTGAGTCCGACAACATTTCAGGAGTGCAATGCTAAATTGGTACTCTTTTAAAACAATACGCTCATGCACTATTATGTACACTGAAAGAGTTTTTGGTTGCTGTATTTGTTCCATTTGTCTCCATTGGCTGTAAAGAGATGTAAAGTGTAAAGTTCAGCTGAAGTTAATATGAGACTTCAGCAGTCAGTCTTTTCAGTATCAAATTTCATCTTTGTGGTAAAAAGTTTATAACTTTAAATCTAAGGCTGCTGAGGCATCGCGTTAGTTTTAATCTTATTGTATTGAAAAAGTAATAATTTGTAGAATGTATTTTACACAGAACTGTGGATTTTGCACCACAGCATCACTTATTGTGGTTTCACTGAACAAGTCCAGCAGTGACAGATCCAGTAAGAATGAAGAGTTTATGAGCAACAACTGCCTGTCAGATTCAGATGTGTTTTATAACTCAAAACACTTGACTTTAGACCTCTGTCTGTTTAGGTAACAAACCACAGCAACCTGTGCTCTATAGTGTCTAGGCTATAGTGATTAGATTGGCTGAAATATGTTGTTATAAACAAGGTGAAACATTGCTTTATGTAAAAGATTACATCATGACATCGTTGTATTATGCACAGTATTAATTTAGGCAAGAGGGTACTTGCTTACCACAAATATGTTCAGGGTCAAATCCTAATCTTCCTAAAATCTACTATACCGGTGCTTGGTTAAGGAGAGTCTCACCTTCAGATACAGAACTTGTTTAGCTTTTGGTATATACATATATATATATATATACAAATGATTTGGGAGATACCAGAATGCTTAATCCACTGTCCTGAATATAATGAAATCACATGTTTGCTTGTAGTAAAAAGGTAAGTACCTTGCTTAAAGGCACATTGACAGTGGGACAGGGGAGCATGTATCATCTAATTGTCTCACTGACTCAAATGGTATTTATTATATTATATATATATATATAAGGATTTTTAAATGGATTCTGTCTGCTAAGCACACTCTTGAACTCTTTAAAATGTCATTAATATTTAAATCAGTAGCCACAGCTGCACATTAACAGCTTGTTTTACAAGTTCTTATTGTTATTATTCAGCCATGCAGAACTGAAACTGGACCTTTATAGTTCTGTGTATTTGACCTCCAGTTGCTTCTTTCCCACCTCTTCATTGCTCCCCCAGGTGTGCCAGCTAAGCGTAATGAGCTGTACTACGACTGCTGTAAGGAGCCCTACCCCGATGTGACGTTCACAGTCACCATGCGTCGCAGGACACTTTACTACGGCCTCAACCTGCTCATCCCCTGCGTGCTCATCTCTGGTCTGGCCCTGCTGGTCTTCCTGCTCCCTGCTGACTCAGGAGAGAAGATTTCACTGGGTACAGGGCAGGACACACACATCAGCACACGCAGGCCATCCCTGCGCGCGGGCGCGCCCACACACACACACACACACACACACACACACACCCTTGTACTTGTATAGTTGTGAGGACCCTCATTGACATAATGCGTTCTCTGGACCCTTCCCCTACCTGTGACCTAAACCTAACTCTACCCTATCCCAAAAAACAAAGCCCTTTGAAGATGTGAAGACTGGCCAAAAATGTCCTCACGTTGTTGGTTAAATCTTGCAGCTCACTATGTAGGAAGTACAAAGAAACACACACACACACACACAGAGGGACAATGATTCATGATTATAATCATACATGAAGACAAAAATGTATCTCCCTCCCCGCCTTGGTGATCTCAGCCCACCAGGTCCCGACGCTGTTGCTAACCCATTCATTTGTCATTGCTCTATGCTAATTCTGACATTATGGCTGTGAATTAGCATTTGTGTTGGATTTTATTCATTAGCAGATGAAAAAAATGTTCCATTATAAACACAGCAAAGATAATCACCAGGACCTGAAAATGCCAGCCTGTTTCAAAATGCCATTCAGTGAGACAGGGTCGGTGTAAATATATAACTGCCAGTATTCCCTCGAGGGCAGAAAAGTGAGTGACTATTCCAAAATAAATTCACAGCTGTTTCCACCTATTTTGAAACGACCAGCAGCATTTATTTTGAGTACTCTAAAGTTGCAATTTAAGAGAAAAACAGACTGTGATGAAAGAATTTAACCCATGTCCTGTTTCTGCTCACTTCTCTGTCTACTGTCTTTCTGCAGGCATCACAGTGCTGCTGTCTCTAACAGTGTTCATGTTACTGGTAGCAGAGATCATGCCTGCCACTTCAGACTCTGTTCCTCTGATTGGTAAGATACTTTTCTGCTCTAATTATTGCTCAGTTTGAGGATTTTCTGACTTTAAAAAGGATGAAAAAGAAAGCACAATAAAGATGCATCACAAAATGATCAAGGGCTTATCTCCCAAACAGTTAGCTATGCTATAGACATTTGCTCATAATAATGGGTAAGGCACATTCAAAAGTTAGAGGATATGAAGTCAGGTATAAACACGTTGGTAAGGTACATATGTGTATATATATATATATATATATATACATATATACCTTACCAATGTGTATATATATACTGTATGTGTGTGTTTGTGTGTGTGTGTGTATATGTATGTATGTCAAAAGCTCACTAATTAATTCAACTTGTTTTTTAATTGGTTTTATATTGAACAATAATACAAAACAATAAAAAGGTTTATGTGTCAATTTTTGAGCTTAAGAATTTCTAGTAGGCGTCTTATCTTTGAGGCTAGCTGTTTCCAGTCTTCATGCTAAGCTAAACTCCTGGCTCCAGCTTCATATTGAATGGACAGCTGTGAAGGTGTGTTCAGACAAATAGCAACATATTTTCGCCTTAAATCATTTGGGCGAATTTGACTGGACAGAAGGCTTGTTCAAGGACGAGAGGAGTTTGTTGTGTACATAGAGGGACTGCAAGCATGTTTTTGTTACTCCAACTCAACTCTGACTCGTGTTTCCTCCGTTGTCTTCCTGCAACAACTTGGCTTTTGTGAGATTTCAGAGCGTGAATTGTCCTGTTTCTTGTTAAAAACAAGGAGTCTCACCGGGAGTCACTCATAGGTATCCTGTCTATGATGTTGTCAGACACCTCGTGTAACAGTCTGACCCTGTCAGTGGCAAAAAGTTTATGTTGCAGTCAGTTCATGGCTGCCAGCTAAAGCCATCTACTATCTTGTATTCTATTAGTAGGGTGTTATTTTTGTTATCGAACTAAGATTATTTTTGACGTATCACAGTTTTTAACCATCAATTTGAATTTTCAGTGTATTGCAGATGAAGAATCTTGCATATTTATTTCTTGTAACAAATAGGAATGCAACATAGGCAGTGACCAACATAGGTGGTGGTAAATGAAGAACTGTTTGGGAGCCGGATGAGCCGGCTCTCGGGAAAGGAACAGAGCCATATCCAACGAAGGTTAAAATGAAGGGCAACTGGACTTGAGATACCAACGATGGTCGTTCAGTCTTGGCCACAGGTAGTCTCAACGACTGTAACGACTGTCGTCACAGCAACAAGGAACACTAACGAACCAGCGGTATCGATGACCCGGGCCAACGACCCCACTGAGGTTAAATAGCTGAGTTTCCCTGCCAGTCAGTCAGAACTGAAGAAGTCCTTTGGATAAGGGACGAAACGTCTTCCAGTAGCTTCAACCAAGTCCAGTTGCCCTTCATTTTAACCTTCGTTGGATAACTATGACCTGGATGACTGAGAATCTTCATAGACATCGAACAGAGCCATAAGATCTGACTCCCTTCAAAGAGCTGTAATTCCCATCACTAGCTGTATATGTTTGTGTTCAGCTCAGCCACTGACTGGTGAACTCACCTTGGGTGGCCAGGAGGCAAAGTGTTCACAGATCACAGGATTGACGGTTCAGTCCCCACCTCCTCCTGTCCACATGTCAGTGTGTCTTTGGGCAAGACACTGAACCCAAATTGTTCACTGATGGTTGGCCATCATAGCTATTGGAGGCTTGGTGTGTTAGTCTGCGCGTGTAGGGGTGGAAAACAACCTTGTAAAGCACTTTGGATAAAAGGGTAAAATGTAGCCATTTCACCAGAGACTCTAGATCGGTCTGTTGTTTCTCTCCTTTTTCTTCTCTTCTTTCTACACTTATGAAACATAAAGCCCCAGGATAAGCAAAACTATTTCTTGCAAGTTGATATATTTTCAGCATCTTTCCATTTACTTTGTATGCAATTGTGCTGCATATATTTCAGTCTGATCTGTCTGTACAGTTGATCGACTCATTGGCAAGATATTCACACTTCATACAGTAGTCACAGTATGTGGAGGAAAATTTTCATGTCACCGACTGACCAATATGTTTTGGCTGAGAGGGGGAGGGGCTGGGCGTGGGAGGTTGCTGATTATTCTCAGTGTAGCAGACAAACAGAGTTGCCTTGTATAAGACCACACTGATGCAGATCAGAAGAGACAAGGCAGCCGGCTATCACATGGGAGGGGAGGCTTCAGAGGGAGATGCTGCTCGGTATCATTTGGCAGCTCAGTGATGTAAAACAAAGCTATTGGCAAACTCGCCTTTATTAGAGTAGACATATTAACACATAACAGATGAAGCAGAACTGATAGATTGAAAAAAGCTCCACAGTGTGCACTATGATATCATACTTTGACATGAAAATTTATGAGGAATAATTTGATTGGTCCACATTTCTGTTCTGATATCATATCCAGATCCAAAAGAAAACTGACATGTCATGTTTGTGTGTGTATTAGGGTGTGTGTGGACGGAGTTGCGTGCTTGCCTACATGCATATGTTATGCATTTTCATGTCTATGTGACTTCAAAAGCTTGCAAGCGTGTATGTGTTTTGGTTGGTTTGTAAATTAGGAAATAAAATGTTACAGTCATCCTCCTACGAGCACCTGTGGTGTTATGACCTATGGTTTGTTGACAGGGATAAACTCCCCACTGACTCACCAACAAACTGACTGACTTGGCAACAGTCCTGCCAACATACTATACTTACCTCTCATGTTTCTTATTGTATGTAGATACATAAGCTTTAAATTCACTCTAAACTGGTTCATTCCAGATAACTGGCTAATCTCTCTCTTTGTTTAACCGTATTAATTGTTCTCTATCCCAAATTAAAATAGTTGTGCTTTTCTTATATGTCCTTCTCCTCTTCAGCTCAGTACTTTGCTAGCACCATGATGATTGTGGGCTTGTCTGTGGTGGTAACAGTCCTGGTACTGCAGTTCCACCACCATGACCCACATGGAGGGAAGATGCCTAAATGGGTAGGTTAATATTAATCTTCAAAGCCCATAATTAATTAAATTATCACTACAAAATGTAGAATAGCCAATTCAAATTTCCCAAGGTAGGTAGGTGTATTATTTTCAAATAACCACACTGGTATCCTCAACTAATCATCTAGACAAGGCTGCTGCTCCCATTTGTTGGAGTAATAAAGAGACATCACAAAGGTTTGACTAATTCATACACAGCACCCTAAGTAAGCGTTAACAACACTCATTTTTTGTACTGTTTTGTAAGAGGCCATTACAAACAGGATTATTATTTTGTGATAACTGCGGTTATATATATATATTTTTAATTCATTTATTTTTAAGGTTTTAGTTTATTTTAAGGTTGACAAAGCTTTCGGTTTAATGAGGGTTTCACCCAAAAAATAAAAACAAAAGCACTTTATTAGCAAGATGATGCACTTTGAACCGTACAGTTACTAGGAAATAATGCAGTCCATTGGAAGGGGAGCCTCCGCACCTTCCAAGTCACATTATTTTGGCATTGTCATGTCACACTGTCAGAAGTAAGATTGGGTAGTAAAAGTTAAATTTCTATCTTGTTGCCTCTCTTCATCCAGGTCCGGGTCATCTTACTCAACTGGTGCGCTTGGTTTCTCCGCATGAAGAAACCCGGAGAGGAAAACAAAACAGCTGTGAGTTCTAGTAGCCCGCCAAACTACAAGTACTCCCACCCTCCTCTTCACCATACCAGCACCAGCAGCATTCAGATGAGCACTATACCAGGGCAGGCATCCACCCAGTCAACCACGACCAACGGGAACATGAACGTGTACTTTGGCTACCACTCGATGAGCACAGAAAATCCTGCTTTCCCACCGAGCACTGATTCAGGTGTGGTGGTGTGCGGTGGAGGAGGCGGGGGCGCCCATCCCAATGGCTCCTCCCCACATGACATCCATTCAGAACAGACGCGGACTTTGCTGCTGGAGCAGGTTCCAGAAATTTCCCTGATCCTGGAGGAAGTGCAGTACATTGCCAGGCGCTTCCGAGAGCAGGACGAGGGAGAGGCGATCTGCAGCGAGTGGAAGTTTGCTGCCGCGGTGGTGGATCGGTTGTGTCTGGTGGCCTTCTCCCTCTTCTCTATCATCTGCACCTTCACCATCCTCATGTCAGCCCCCAATTTCATTGAGGCTGTGTCCAAAGACTTCACATAAGGCTGACCTCGTCCCTCTCTGAGAGGAAAGAGAGAGGCAACAACTCTAACATTAAAAACCATGACATGATTAGAATTGTGCCACATAAACCTCCCTGCCATGTGAAGCCACACAGTTATTTCAGTTATTTTAAGTGTTGTTAGTTACAGAACATCAGAACCAAATCTTTCACTCTATCTTCATAGATTTGTTAGTAGCATATGGTTGTATGGATGAGATTTTTCCCATTAAAGGTGGCTCTCCTAGCTAACACCTTACATACAGCATGCCACGTAGGAGGTTGAGGCTACATGCAGTAGTTAATGATGTAGAAACTCTCTGCTGTACCATTGTTTACCTGCCACCACTTGGGCTTCACGTCTCATCAGTATATAGCCTACAGTTTATACTTCTTCCCTCCTAGCTCTTTCTCTTCCCTTTCATATTCCTAGTCTTTTTCTGTTCCTTTCCCCACTGTAGCGCTTCTCGTCTTCTAGAAACATCTAATTGTCTTCAGCAGTAACATATAGTACAGTCAATAGAGTTCAAAAAAACAGTTTTAGAAATCTTTTCTTTTTCTTTAAGGCCTGTATTCTAGTAATGCTTTTTGTATTTTGTAAATAAATGTACATCTTACTTTATCAATGTGGTGAAGTTGAGATAAAAAATTTTATATTAAGTTGGTGAATCAACTGACGTGTTAACTCAAAGCACTGGACACTTCTGTGTACTTCTTCACTTATCTTGTGTACTCTTAACTAGGGCTGCAACTAAGAATCATTTTGATTTTAAATTAATCTGCCAGTCATTATCTCCATTAGCCATTTTGTATATAAAATGTCAGAAAATAGTGTTAAAATGTCTGTTGTAATTTCCCATGGTGACGTATTCAGATTGTTTTACCCCATCAACAATTCTAAACTCAAGCATATTCAATTTACTACCATATGACAGTGAAAGCATATTTCTATTCCATTTGTTTCAGCTCTACTTTAAACATCTCCATCATGTCAGTCAATTTTTCGCATAAGTATTGGTTTCTCCCTTACTCACCCCTTTATTGCCTTTCAAGTCATCCTCATTATTTCCTTGCCCTACCTTTGTTGCCACTGATGTTCTCATTTCCTTCTTGCACAGCTTAGACCCAGGTTCTATAACCATAAATGTGAATAGAGAAAGCTTTATTTAGCATTACCAGTGAAAGTCATACTTAATTGTAAATCTTTGTACATCACTCATTCACTTCATTCGCAATGCATTTATCTTTTGAGATTAATTCAGTGTTTATATGACTTATGTGCTACACAATGTATTGCTGTATTCTGAGGAAAAATGAGTGATTGAAAGACAATATTTGTTCTTTAGATGGATGGTTAAATGGATTCTAGAGGGACATCACCCCAGTAGATGCATTTGGTACTAATCTTTTGTAGTGCAGAGTGGTTTTGTTCTAACTCACTAATACTCAGCCAAAGGCAAACACTTTCTTCTCTAATCTCTAGCAACAACATACAACAAGGATTACTGGGTGACCTTATGTAACAGATTTGTGTTAAATCTTGACTCTTCTCATCACCCGAGCGTCCACTCAGATCCTCAATGGTACAAGACTCATGTGAATTCGCAGTTTTATGCACAAAACTGAACTCCAGACTTCTCCAACTTTTGGCATTTGGCAATTTTAAGTGGAGTTTTCAGAGGAACCGAGGAAGAATGAAAACAACAAAATACAGTACACTGTGTGACTGCTGCTGAAAAAGTCACTGAGATTGAGTTCATGCTGTTACAGTTAATCAATGGGTCAAATGCAGACAAATAGCTGCACCTGTTGACCATTTCATTGTATGACTCAGACTGTAGAGCATTAAATGTCATATCCACTCATAATGGACAGACAGGAAAAGGGGAAACCAATCTTGACATGAGAGTACATGCAGTACTTTGCAGCGCTCTTTGTGTAGACAATGTTGCTTCACTTTTGATCCAGTTTTGGAGGGTTAGATGAAAATACCGACACCATTCTCATGTCTGGATGTAAAATGGGAAGCCACAGTCAGCAGCCAGCGGAAAACAAGAAGTCAGGAAGTCGGAAAATTAATTAGTTAGCTTTAGAGGTACCGCAAGGTGGATTTTGTTATGCTAAGCTAAGCTAACCAGCTTCAGACAGTAGCTACATATTTACCATACAAACATGAAAGTGGTATAAATTTTCTGGTATTACTCGTAAAAAAAACAACCAACCAAAAAACCTCATAAGCGTATTTCCAGAAATATTGTACTATTCCTCTAATACTGGTTCATTTGACATTGCACATTGTGTAGAAAATAGATTTTAAGTTGCAGGGGTCACACAGATGGTGACTGAAAGCTGAGCACTGCTTATTTAAGAGAACATTTTATTTATTTTTTAAGGAACGCAGGATCTTGGCTGCTGTAAGTATGTTGTGTAATAGATCGAGGAATAATGCAAAACCTCGATCACTGACTTATCTTGGAGAACAACAGTGGGAATGATGCTTTGTGGAATGAGAAGTGTCATTCCACATATATGCGACTTGGACTGACAACTGATGGCAAGCAAATATGTAGATACTTTGTGAGATAATCTGACCCATTAATATTGTTACTTATTCGTGTTGATGTCTATTCAGCATATGTTTTTTATATGACAAGCATTTATGGCACTGAGAGTTTGATGTGTGTCAAATGAAGAATCATGGAATCTCTCAAATGATACTGTGCTGAAAATATGAAAAGAGAATTAGGTGTTCAGGGTAAAAGATATTCTGTCAAAGCTATGTTGAAGGTGAAACCACACAACTGGCTCAAATAGCAGGGTTACAAATGTGAAATTCTATTGACAGATTTTAAAAAGTACACTTAAAATGAGAATGTGGACATTTGCTTTTGCCATGCAATCACAGGCTTTTTTTCTTTTCATCACCAGTGTTGTATTTTTGTCAACTTGAGTGTCTTTTTATTTGGTCTGTGCCTCTCTGCTCAGTATGGTTCATTCTCCTTTTGAAGGATATACAAAAATGCTCACTGTATATGACTATTTTGAGAAAAATAAAGGAGAAATGTGATAATTACCAATACTTGAGTGGCTGACATTTTACAATTCACTAAATAATACACTTAAAAAGGCTTTTGCTCACTGAAGTTGTCCAAGCTTCCTTGTTCTTTTGAACAAGCAAGGGACTAGGTTATAACAGGGTTGCTGTTGTCAATTTAACTGGACAGACAGTATAATGACAGCTTGCCATCTGATGTGCCTGCTTAATACACAGCATGTTATTGCCACAGTATCGTTCACACAGGGGCGGCTGTGGCTCAGGAGGTAGAGCGGGTTGGCTGTTAATCGGAAGGTCGGCGTTTCAATCCCGGCTCCCCCAGACTGCATGTCAAAGTGTCCTTGGACAAGATACTGAACCCCGAATTGCCCCTGGCGGTTGTTCCACCAGTGTGTGAATGTGTGTGAATGTTAGTTTCTGTTTGAGCACTTAGGCTCAGTGTATGTGTAAAAAGCACTTTGAGTAGTCGAAAAGACCAGATTTACATTCAGTGTAGTTATCAAATGTGACATTTCACAAAGAGAAAAATGTTTGACAAAAAAATCAAACTGTTCATTTTTCTTTCTTTAAAGAAAGCTTTAAAGGAATAGCTTGACATTTGGGGAACTGCCTACATAATTGCCTACAGTTATATGAGTAAATATAGCTGGGTGGCTTAGCTTAGCAGAAAGACTGGGAACAGCTAGCCTAGCTCTGTCCAAAGCTCCTCAAATCTACCTACCAGCACCTCTAAATTAATTGTTATATCCAATTTGTTTCATCTGCACAAAAACCTACCTTTCCCTCTGTCTCCAGTCTTTTTGATAAGCTAAGCTAACCAGCTACAAGCTGTTGTTTCGTATACACTGTAGGGGAGACTGGGTACAGTTGTAACACTTTTTGCTTTAGCAACTATAACTCGCTGATTTTATTAGCTTGAGTTCACAAACCTTTTTACAAAGTACCCACATTTGTTCACTAGAAACGAGTAGTCTGAGGGAGTAATTTGTTAATTTTCACGCATGCATGAATAGTCTTGGACTCTTACATTCACTCGTCACACGGCAGCTGCATGGGCTCCGTCAGCACAGGAAACAGAATTGATTAGTTCGCAACTCATAACTGTGGGTCTCTGAAATTTGAGTTGTTCATTTGTCATGTGACATCTCGGCTACAGGGCTGTGGTAAGCAGGCAGCACAGGAAACAGAATAGATTAGTTCACAACTCTCAACTGTGGGTCTCTAGGTTTGAGTCGTTCATTTGTCACGTGACTTCTCTGCCACTGGAGCAGACATGAACGTCTCGGGTTACGCATGTAACCCTTGTTCCCCGAGAAGGGGAACGAGACACTGCGTCGGTGACGACACTATGGGAACGCCTCTGGGCGTGGCAGGGCTGAATCATGAATGAAACTACTCCAATCCTATTGGTGTTGCCTGCTGAATAGAAAAAAGCTGATGTGTCCTGTGTGCCGGCGTGCTTATATACGCCTCCAGTTACGCCGTCACATGCAACCGTTATAGCAACACCAATAGGATTGGAGTAGTTTCATTCATGATTCAGCCCTGTCACGCCCAGAGGCGTTCCCAGAGTGTCGTCACCGACGCAGTTTGAGTTCCCTCGAAGGGGAACTATAGTCTCCTCTCCAAAACAAACGGACCTGGTCATTAAAACATTACAACACAGCCACATAGCAACGTTAACATTAGCCCTGAGGTGTGTTTACAGTTAACAGCTGATCCGGGTCCCCCAGAGAACACAACATAACTTTTACTTTTTATTTATCAACAGAGCCGTGCTGTTGTTTTCACAGCTCTTGACTGGTGAACAACCTGGCAGTGTTTGAGAGCGATGTGCTCATGTTTGTTTCTCTCTGTCTGCGGACCTGATGTGGCCCATTCTGCCTCCAGACTTGCCAAACTGCTGCATTTATATAATGTGTTTATTTCTTTGTTCCTCTCTCTGTGCTGGAATCCTTTTAAGAACTTGGTGGCTTTATCCAGATTATTATTAAATTGGTTGAATTTTAATAAGAGTGTGTTTATTCATATAGTGTGTCAAGCTTATTACTTCAATATATTTCCCGCAAATCTGATGTTAATTTATAGATTTT